ATAACAATTCTGGAAACCAAACAAACAAATAGAATACCCTAGCAACCACATAGCAACACCCTGGCAACAACCCAAAAACCCTACCAGTGAAGTGTATTTTACATATAGAGTTTTTGCACAGAGCCTGACATCATGATAACACTAGCTGGAAAGATCATTAAGTCATTAGTCTCATGGCTAATTGTGTCTTTCCGTGGCAAATGGACCCATTTACATGATGAATCACATGAACACACTCACAGTGAGGAGGTCTTGCAGCACCAGACGACCCTCATCAGTCGTTCTGCAGCTATATAAAGAGCTGTAGTCCATCACCATGATGGAAAGCGGGCATTCATGAATACTGCATGCACACCCTAACTTTAGCACTGAGCGCAGCTATAAGGAGAGTCCGACCTCAAATTTGGCTAAAAGCAGAACAACATCAAGCACAACAAAACCATTAACAAGAATCGCAGACAAAACAACAGATATATATTTTTTATATAGATATATAGTATATTTTCATGAATGTAGCCTTTCATGTCTAAGGGCCAATCCGAGACTGATGCTAAGTGGCTAATGTTAACTTGTTGTACAGACATGAACCTCAGTTTGTGCAGTTTGTTGAGAAGGTGTGCTATTACTTTTCAAAATGGTCACATGATAAAACAAGTAATAATAATATCAATGACACCTTAAACCACCTGCAACACCCTAGCAACTGCATAGTAACATGCTAAAAAAACACCATAGAATACCTTAGTTACCGCATAATGACACCCTAGCAACCACCGAAAACCCTGTTGTAACTGCATAGCAACATGATAAAAACCACATTTAGAATAACTTAGCAACACCCTGGTAACCAACTGGAACACTCTGGCACCTGCATAGCAATGGGAAGAAGAAAAAAAACACTCAGAACACCTCTGCAACCACATAACACCTTGGCAACCACCTAAAACTCCATTGCAACTGCATAGTACCATAATAAAAAATACATTTAGAACAACTTAGCAACACCCTGGCAACCAACTGGAACATTATGCCACCTGTATAGCAATGGAGAAAAGGACTTAGAACACCTTTGCAACCACATAATACCTTGGCAAACACCCAAAACCCTGTTGCAACTGCATAACACCACGATAAAATTCAGTCAGAACAACTTAGACCACCCTGGTAACCAACTGGAACATTCTGGCACCTATATTACAATGGAAAAAAAACACTCAGAACACCTCTGCAACCACATAACACCTTGGCAACCACCCAAAAGCCTGTTGCAACTGCATAACACCACGATAAAATTCAGTCAGAACAACTTAGACCACCCTGGTAACCAACTGGAATATTCTGGCACCTATATAACAATGGTGAAAAACACATAGAACACCTTTGCAACCACATAACACCATGGCAACCACCTAAAAAACCTTGACACTGCATAGCACCATGATAAAAAAACACTCAGAAAAACTTAGCAACACCCTGGAAACTAACCAGAATACTCTATTACATTGTACATTTTATAATTTACATGTCTTCATTCAATATATATAAACTACTTAGAATACCTAACAACACCATGGCAACCAGCTAATACTCTAGCAACCACAGTGCAATGTGCTAAAAACACTTAGGACATGTTAGCAACAGCATGACACCTTGGCAACCACCTAGGCGTTACAGCGGTGGTTGTTAAACTCCCACCCTGATGTCAACCAGTCATCACTAAAACAAAAGCAGGCTCTCAGAAACAGCGAAAGGAATGCAAAGTGAGTTGAACCGAGGCCCGTAAAGGTACATCAGAAGATTTTCTGACTGTCACTACTTGCTTGAGTTTGGAGGTTAGCCAAACTTAAAAAGATAGAGCATGGAGGAATGTATTGCTGAAGGGGATCTTACACTCATCTTGTCTTCTGATGGCCAGCTCAAGCCAGGGATGGAGGGCGAGACTGAAGAACAACTAATTTTGTTTATTAGCAAACAGTCACTCCATGTGCTAGACTTTTGTTTTTTGTAGCAACCCAGTGAGGTTCATTTACAGTATAATGTTAAACAAGGTTTTTTGCACCATTTCCACGGACCTTCCTGATGACGAATATTACGTCGCGCGGAGTGTTGCGAAACGTGGTCGGCCGAAGTATACTTTGGGCTTAAGGAAACGGCCTTTTTAAGATTTCAAATCAAGTAGTGCCTCTAATCGAGTCAATCATAGAGGGGGTCTATTATCCTTGTGGTTGTGACCTCATAACCACAGCCATTTCTAATTGGTCCATTTCTGCAGTGTATTTTCAATTAAATAGTGAACTGCTGAGATCTTTACATTGTGGAAATCCTGTTTTTCATGATATCGCTGTAACAAGCTTAAGGTGGCACAGAACAAAGACAGAAATGGAAAAAAGGCTAAATGGATGGTGGTTGATGAAAACAGGGTGAGAGGGAAAGGGTGTGAATGAAAGTGCAAAAGGAAAGATGGGAGAGGGCAAAACAGATGGGATGATGGTGGTAGTAGAGTTCAAGAGGCAGTTGTGAGTGACAGATCTGAAACGGGTCGTGAGAGGCATATAGGGGGACGGGTGGAAATTAAAGGAAGGTACGATGAGGGTCGAGACTTCGGGAGATCAAGAGACAGAGATTAAAGACGAAGAGGTGCATGAAAAGGTGAAGGTGTAAGTGTAGGAAGCGAAATAGCTGGGAAGAGGATGCACCTGATGTAGAGGAACGAGGGATGAGTGAAGGTGTAGAGAGGTGGGCCATAAATCCTCAGGAGGACGTGGCAGACACAGCTGTTTCTGTACGAGCCAGATGTGAAAGAAGTACAAGAGGGATTTGAACTTCGGCAAGTAACTTCTCCTGCCATTGACCACAAATCATGCAGCATATTGAGAAAAACACACATGCAACTAGTGAAAAAAAAAGTGTGTATTTGTGTGTTTTGGCCTTCAGCCCACAGCCAGGTGTGGAAGATACAGGTGAGATATCCATCCATCAGATTAGATGACACACAAACATCACATTTAAAGATTATTTGGATTGAACTCACCCTAGTTTTGAAAGTGAATCTCTGTTCTGTCGTTCATTTTTAAGGAGCGTGACGGTACATTTTTCCATATCTCTACCTCTTTATTTTCAGTCGCCCCGTTGCTCAAATGACAGCTGTTTCTTTGACAAGCAGACCATCACTGCCTGGAGAAACACATACACTCGCACATAACGTCTTGAAATAAGAGAGTGAATGGTAATTACTCATTCTTTAGAGTCAAACAGCTGTTTGCTGCACGCGTCTAGAGTCATTCAGAAAACACACAATGAAAACAGCTGCGAGGGTGACAACACAAAGTGTGCTCTTTACAGTGGCAGAGTGAGATGTTTAGAAATCAAACGAGTTAAGAGAATACAAACACATCAAATTTTATCCAAGAATCAAACTCCTTGGCATTACAGTTGAGCTAAAGAAACAAAAACAGCTACACCAACATTTTCAACGAGACATTTTCGAGTTCATATTGAAATCAATGACATTTGAATAAAAAAAAACTAACCACACTTTGAGACAATGTTGAGATCTCTTCTGAAACTCAGTGGTTCTCAAGGTGCAGAGGACCTATGATGCTTTTTTACATGTTCAGCTTTCTTTAATGTGTAACGTTGTGGTTTGAGCATGAAAAGGGTCTGTAAAGTTACAAAAGCACAAAGTCCCTCCAGCGGGAGTTATTCTCTATATCAGTGCGCACTGTTTCTCAACCCTATGAAACGCCTTCATTGTAGTCTTGAGTTTTCTTCCGGGAACAAACACGTCACAATATTCCTCATTTAAATAATTCCTGCCCAAGTGATATGCAAAATAAAGGTAAGAGGTCTAGTTGAGTTGCATTAATAGTGTGTTGAAACTTGTGGTTATGGTAAAGGGGTGTGGCATTTCCCAAACACGCTTAAAACACTTGACCAATCACAGCACACTGATCCAGCCGACCAATCAGAGCACACTGTGCTTTCTGAAGGAGGGGCTTCATAGAGACAGGAACCAAACAGAGAGTTACTGACAGACTGGGAAGAGAGGTGCTGAAACAATGTCAAATATGGGGAAAATAATGTGTTTTTTGAACATTCAAGCATCCAAACCCAAAAACAAAATCAAGACTTTGAAACTGGGCCTAATAGGTCCGCTTAATTTTTTTTTATGGTAAGATAAAACCAGCATTAAAATAAACTAAAACAACTAAACATCACGATATTTCTTATTTGAATTCACCCCTCAACAACTTTTTCTCCTGTGAAGAACCTGTTTCCCACAGTCTTGAGGATATTTGAGGCAGATTAATTATTAGTTTGAATTTTAGTACCGGAAAAGTCATGGAAAATTAAACAAAATGGTAAAACTGCATGGGCATTTTTATGATGAATATACCAAGCTAGAAATTGTGAGTAAAAATATATTTAAAAAACCCTTTTCCTTAATACTTATCCTGTAAATAAACTACCTAACGGATTACGGATTTAAACAACTGTCAAACGTTGAGGAGACTTCGAATTGTGTTGTGGACAAATGGGGGGATTCATAAAGGTTGAGAACTGCTGCTTTAGAGGAGACACAATTAAGAATAAGCAAAGTAGTTTGCTCAGGGGAAAAAATCTGAGAAACAGGAGATGTCATGTGCTCTTTATTTACTATCATAGCTGTCTATGAGAAATAATTAATAATTTTCCTGTTATACAGTTATCTTCATTTATATAGCGCTTTTAACAATCTAGATTGTTCCAAAGCGGCTTTACAGTGATAATAGGAAATTAATTAAAGTAACAGATTGTTTTGGCTTTATGGCAGCTCTAGAATAAAGTTATTTTTCCAGTTACAGGTACTGAGGGAAATATTTAGTAGTTATATAAGACACCATATCAAAGATTAAAAAGACTTTTCACCGAGTGAAACAGTAATGCGCACCAAGGCTTATGGGGTGTCCAATCCTGCTCCTCGAGGGCCAATGTCTTTAGCTCCAGGGTGCACTTACACACTTGCCTTGAGGTTCCTCGTAATCCTGAAGATCTTGACTAGCTGGTCCCGGTGTGTTTACTCTGCAGAACAGTGGCCTTCCGTGAGCAGGATTGGACACCCCTGGCGTCATCCAAAGTCTCAAAATACAGTAGATAATGTAGTACTACACCACCCTCTGGTGGTCACTGTGGAAACAGCAGCCCAGAGTTTCCTTTTGTTATTCAGTGTCCTTCTATGTTTGCTGAATAATAAACCACTAATATTCTTCCTGGAACACTTCCTGCTGAGGGTGGATGGAAAACATTTGTGTTTAAATCTTGTGAATGGAGAAAATGGAGATTTGGGCTTCTGTTCAAATCAGGCTCAGGGCAGTTCATGTACCCATCATCCATTTCTACATTCAGAGAGCAATCTTCTTGCCAAGCTTTCTGGGTAGTGCTGACAGAAGTTGCAGGATTCGGCAAGTATCCCTCTGAACATGGAAGGACTGGGACATGGAAGTTGGGCTGGAATGTACCATCTATTCCCATCACATTCCCAGAGGACTGAAGGCATGGATCATCAACATGCAAAACCACTCGATCACCATCGATTTCACGGCAGCGGTTGTTTCTATCGGAGGTCAAGGTATTTTCTGAGTCGCTGCATGGAAGAAGTCATATTCATGTTGTGAACTTCCCTTTTTATCTGTTACTTAAGAATCTTAGGACTTCCCATTCCCAAAATTACAGAGCATTCCAGGAATGAAGCCTATAGTTGACTTACAATGAGGAAAACTGCGGACGGACATCTACAATCTGAGCGTTGCTGATTTCTGGATCCTTCATATCGGTACAGCAGGGTAAGTGGTCCATCTGAGGATGCTAGAAGAAAACAAGATGTTCGCTCAGTTATCTTATGATTGAGTAGTGGGTTTAAAAGATTATAGGGATCGTTTACACCTGGTATTATTGATTTGCCAAGAATTGGAAATCAACAAATTCAAGAGTCCCCAAAAAAATCTTGCTCAGTCGATTGTATTCGGAGGTAGTCAGACATTGGGCCCTATTTTAGCGATCTAAGACAGTGCATGGTCTAAAGCCCACGGCGCAAGCGCACATTCGCTACTTTAACAACGGGAAAAATGGTCGGCCATTTTCAGATCAGAGTCTCATCTCCCTTTTCCTTTAAAAGCCAGTTGCGCTCGCGCCATGGCGGATTCGCTATTTACATGATGGAATTTGCAAGCGGAAAGACTGAACACGCGCGTCTCCAGAGCGAAAACGGATCTGCTTGTGCACGAGGTTAAAGCGCGCAAGCAGACCATCTACAGGACTAGCATGATTGTTTGTGTGCTGTTGCACTCCACAGTGTGAGTGTTGTACACCCGCCTATAGGGGCATATTACTAACGCGCTCTTTTAACCCTTTCACGCGTACGATCACACCGGTGTGATTAGAACGGTAAGTGCATCACGTGATCAACTGCTAAATTCAAACGTGCTTTCGCGCGTTGGCTGGCGCTGAGCCAGAGACGGACGCACTCAGTCCTGTCATATATCACAACTATTGAGTGTTTTCAACCACATAATGCTTATTTTAGGTTTCAGACATTTAAATACACATAAGTACTAGCAAAACAATGATTTTGAGTTTGTAAAATACACACTGATGTCTATGGACGCGGCAATAATAATCCTTTCCATTATAATAAGATGACACGTTTTATTCATATCAGATACACATTGTGTAAATAGCTTTACATTTGACCCTATTCTTCTCCCAGTTCACCGGCCACTTACTTTCATGTATTTCGTGAGAAGTGGAGGAATTGATGTGTTGTAAATCCAACAGATCCGATTCTCTGAACTGTGAAACAAACTAAAATGGCGCCGCCCATTGTGCATACAGCTCAACTAACGTGATCGTTATAAAGATGTTTAAACAACAAAACCCATCCACTTGCACATATTTGACAATCGGAATATCAGTGTTTCATGTTATAGCTAATACATTTGTGAATATTTTTAATAAAAAAGGAAAAATGACATAAAAGCAGATCATTCATTCAGCGCTGTGTTGTGGTTGCGCTGTGTCACGTGACACGCAATGACGCGACACCATGGAAACATTAAAGTGACAAGTTCTAAATAACGGTCGCCTTGAAAAACTCACGCTGGGGGGTCAGTTAGAATATAACAAATTCTGCGTCATTGACTTTAGACCAGGTTTCAGTTGGTCAATGGCGCAGTCTATTTCAGTTGCCTCAAAATAGCAACGCGCCAACAATGCGCCTGAACACACCTCGTCCTCGTGTCAGACCAGCAGCCCATGGGCGCACAAATGGGCGCAAATGCTATTTAAACAACGTGGCACAGGACGTGAAAATGATAAGTGCGTTGGGCTGAAACTAGCAAAAAACACTTGCGTCGCACCTGGCACCATTTTTAGCGTAAATTCTAATGCGACAAGTCGAAATCTTTTGCAAAAAATCAACAACCGATAGTTTCCACCGGATGAACACTCGGATAAAAAAAACCATGTGGTCTAAGTTACCAGGTCAACCTACCTGTGACACCTCTGAGACTTTGCTGTGGACAGGAGAGGGAAGAGACACGTCCCATTCTCTCAGTCTTCTAAAGAGAGAAGAAAGACTCCCAATTTCTGTCTTTGCAATTCATAAATTGAAAGGAATCTAATTTTATTTACCTCTGAAGAACAACCAGAATGATGAAAACTACGATGGAGACGGCTGACGCGAGGGTCGCGATGAGGACATACAGGAGAAATGCAACTAGATTGGCCGCAAGAGGCTCTGAAGCAAAAACATACATTGATGATAAGGTTTGTGTAATTTATCATGGTTTCTTGTACTGTAAAACACTGTAGATATGTAGAGACCAGGCTGTGTGGTCCAGTAGACGGGGTCGGTCCACTCTGAGGGATATCCAGTGTAACGCCATCCTGAACGTCTGGTTGAGCTCACATTACAGCGAACCTGAGCCTGGTACTCTGAGGAACCCTTGAGAGAACGCTCTGATATAGCAAACGCCATCTCTCCATCAGAGAGAAAGATGCTCTTTACATCCTCCTGCAGACAAAGAGGAAGTTAACATACATGCACTAGATAATGAAAGTGGGTGTTTATTCAGCTACAGCACTTTTGACCTTTTAGAAGATAGACTCTCTTTTAAAAACACTTTTTACACACTTCTGCTAATAATGTCCAAAAGTGTATATATATATATATACACACACATAATTGTGTCTTTTTCAGACATCTCAAATGATGTATTGTTTAACTCTTTCCCCGCCATTGACGGAATTTTCTGTCAATCCATGTTTTCACTGTTATACGGTAGAGGGCGCTATTACGCGCTTCTGAAAGAGTACTGAATCTCTGGGTCCAAAAACAAGTGAAGAAGAAGCAGAAACAATCGATAGAAGCATTGCCTTCGCATATATAATCTAATGTGATCATCAAACATTCAACAGCATATAAATCAAAACTGGCTGACAACATTTTTTTTTTTAAATGGGAGTTAATAAAATTCTGTGATGGAAAGTTTTGAACATTTCTGGCATAAAAAGGCTGACTACTTTTTCTAGCTAAGGCTAATTACATTGCTATCAAGTATCGTAATTAATAAATATTGCATAGACAAATAGTATTTTGTGTTATAGCTTGTATTTTATCATATGTATATAAATGCCTAAATCAGAACAGTATGTAAAAACACTGTAATCCTTTTTGTTATATTTATGTTAACAGTAAATAAAAGTAGCAAAATAAAACATATTAAGGCATGATAAAAAGTATATGAAAGAATGTGACCATCAAAAAAAACTTACATTTTAATTATAAATTAAAAATCAACTCCTAGGACATAAAATTACCGGTTTAAAAGTCGAAGAAACACCATTACAAAAATAAATAAATAAATAATAATGAATAAATATTGCCTAGAAAAGTAGTCAAATACTCACAGGAGTTAGTATGCTCCAGTACTTGAGTTCAGTAGTGAGAGGTACAGTACGGTACTTAGTCAGAGTCCAGTTCAGGATCCAGCCTTCTCCTCTCAGTTCAACGCTCAGACCCGTGGGACACGCGGGCTGGACTAGACCACGGACACAGACCCGGATCAATAACAATTGAATCAATACAGCTTTCTGGAATACTTGACTGTGATTGGTCAATTGCAGCATTCAGCATGCAAGTATTTCTCAAGAGGAGGGGTTATTTGTACTAACTGTGTTGGTAAGCGCGGATCACTTTGGTCACCGGCGTTGGCGTGAGTCGCACCTGCAGCACTCCCGGCTCAAAGATGCTGAAAACACCAACCGTCCTCAAAAAGCCTCCTTCATTTGTGACCTGCACCTTCTCAACGCAGTACCACTCAGCCCTGAAAGAGAGAGATTACACCTGTCAGAGTTAAAGACATCTTTCACACCATCCATAACGCTCTCAAACACTCACAGCGCAGTGGAGTGTGTCCGGTAGGACAGCGTGTAGATGATGTACCGGGTCAGATCTGTTTTGAGATCCCAGCTACAGCTCAAATTCTTCCCGCCATTGAGCACACAGTGTAGGTTAGATGGACCAGGGAGAGCGTCTGAAATAAATAAGGGTCTATAGTACTCCAGGACACCAGGGGGCTCCACTTGATCACAGACTTTGACTGGGTTTCTCTTTATACTCACACTCGGGTATCAGTTCTTGCCCTTCAAACCACACCTCGCCGACCTCGGTTTTATTCTCGCTGCCTTCCATGTCTTTTTGTGTTGATTTGGTGTGAATTTTCCCGCCTTTCTGATCCTTGACAATTTCGTGATTAATCTCCACCTCCAGAAGAGCAACATACAAGTCGGTTAGCTTTAGCAAAACAACAAAAGCGATTTTTGTTGAGATTAAATCACAAAGAACTCAAATTTATTTTCAACACGCTCGTGGAGATTCGTAACTAGTTTACGTTTTTTCAGAATTAGTGGCTAATTTGTATGAATTTGTACAATATCATTCGTACGTTTTCATACAATCTGTTTACTTCCCATTGATGGTTAGGATTAGGGGTGTATATCTTCACTGTAAAAAAAAGGTTGCTGCCTTAAATTTTTAAGTGCAATCAACTTGGATGTTTAAGTCATTTCAACTTAAATTACATTAAACTGACTTGAGTGAACTGAATGAGTTGAATCTTGAATAACATAAAAAAAAGTTGAAAATTGCTTAACTTATGTTGTCATAACTTATTGATCACTTTTTTTTTTTACAGTGTTCATGCTTACTTTTTTCTTAAAAATTATGTTTTCGTACGATCCACATCATACGGAATTGCCGCCTCGTAAAATAGTTACGTTTTCTCGTAAGAACAGGGTTGGTCTTTTTGACAAACATGAGGAGCACTTTTTCCCAGTTTTTCACATAAGTTTAGAGTGACTTCTGACTGAAAGCGTGGTCATTTTGACACTCACTGAGCGCTCTTGTTCATGCAGTCTGAAGGGGTCAGAGGTCAGACGTGAGGGAGGGGGGGTGTCGTCTAGCTGGTCAAAGTTACAGTCTGGATCCGCATCTTCTAGGGAAGTTAATAGTAGACATAGTTTGAGCTTGTGTAACACAAATAGCCAGTGCTTAAGTATGTCTATGGTTTACGTTTACTGGACTAATTGTACCAAATGTTGTGAGTCTGAAGGTTTTGGAAATGCCGGAAGAGTGCGGCGTGTGGAAGAAGAACACGTCATCGAAGCCGATGGCAAACAGAGATGTGTTATACCGACAACAAACTCTCTCCTGCCCAGTAGGATTCAGGGAAGGCTTAGGAGTCTGAACACAGGGAGATACTCTGGAATAAAGCAAAAATAAGCAATGATACACATATTTCACAGTTATAACTTATGCGTTAGTGTATTTTTTGTACATGTCATGCATTCATTTTTACTCAGTTAGAAAATCCAGCACATCTTTAATCAAAAACTTGGGCCTAAATCATAGCAGTGCCAGTAAGTAAAAACACTGATCTTTAAAAAAAATAAGAAATGTAAAAACATTTTTTTTTTTTTTTTTTACTGTAAAATATATTAGTGGAAAGCATTCTGGGAATGCCTTTTCCCCCATAAATTGTAAGCTGATTCATACTTTTTACATAGAAAAGTAAGTAAATATAAATAAAATAATTTACAATAATTTTAACTGTAGGCTACTTTTTAAAAAGTTACTTACTGTAAACTCAAGTTTACAGTAAGTAAAGGTTTATCCACTGGCTCAGTGAATATAAATGAAAAATCTAAAAATATGAATATAAAGTAAAACCATATAAAATTCTGAACACTAAGTTTTTTTTTTAATTACAGTAAAATGACATGCATTACCTTTTTTTCTTTACCACATACTGTATATGGTAGCTTATTTTTAACCATTTTAAATGATTTTTCTGATTGAATTACTAACATTTTAGTGTATACTACTACTGAATTATGATTGATTCACTATTATCCCTACGATAATACTACTATTACTAATAATTACCATTATATTTAGCTACTACTGAATTAATTATTGTTTTACTATTATTACTCTTCTACCACCAAATTATTATTATTTTACTATTAAAATAGTATAGATACATGAACTAAAGAATATTTAGGACAGAAACAAACTTGGTTGTATTATTTTCCTGTTCATTATTGTAAAGCTGCTTTGAAACAATCTGTATTGTAAAAAGCGCTATATAAATAAAGGTGACTTGAGTTGACTGACTATTACTGCTATAACATCACTGTATCATACAGTGTGTTGTGCTATCTGATGTTTGGGTCTCACCGGTGGTCATCCGGGTCCATGTGGATCAGAGACAGTGGGATTTGAGGATCGTGCCTCCAGCTGCAGTGGATATGGGAGCGGTAGTCATTACGGCACTCCAAAGACTCCAGAGCAGAGGATTCTGGGAATAGAAGACATAGAAAAAGCTGAAAATGTGCTTATGCTGCGTTCACGCCATGTCGTAATTGCCGTAATTTTGAGATGACAACACATGATGCTCGACTCAGAGCAGTTCACGTCCTCGGACTGGGAATTATCCCTTTCTATTGCAACACCATCAACACTCATTTGTGTGATGCATGCAGCAGAACAATACAGTAAAACAACTCTCACCTGGAGCAAATGTGCCATGTTGAGGACATCCTGTGAGGGTTGACGTCCACAGTGCAGTCAGAGTCAAGAAGAGAGAGACGTCTGGACTCATGGAAAACTCTGTACGACTGCAGGTGAGGAGGAAATGTTTGATATTCCCTAACAAACAAGAAAAACATTGAGAGGAAATAATGAAAGATGAGTCTGAATCCTCTGTGAATGGACAGCAGCAGAAACAGAGGCTCACCATCAAACGCTCAAACGCTGTCTCAGGAGTCAGTGCGGCGCTGGTCTTCACGGCTGTGTTGAACTCCGGCTGGTCACGCCGACATCCTCAAGTGTTGTGAACTTATTTCAGCCTGTGCCAACATGACCGCAAATGTGTTTACTTTGCCACAAACTTGTCAAAACTGCTTGGCTTGCAGATTTCAATGTGCCATATGATTCCTTCCCCAAATTTAAAACTACATAAAAAATATAATATGCTAGTCTTTTAATCTTTTATATCTAATATATATATATATATATACATATATAACCCATTATATTATACATTATATTGTAAATGTAATATATTTCATTTATGCTATTTTTAGATTTATATAAAAACATTATTAAAATAATAAAATATTAAATGAATGAGATACTTTTCATTTATATAACTAATTTAATTATATAATAGATCTTATTTTCTATCCTACTTGTTTAATAGTTATTTGAAAAATATTGACATACTAAATCAATAGTATGTTAACATTAATTATTTAATAGATTAAATGTTTTAATTATGAAAATGATTGAGTATTAAATAAATAATTAGTATTATATCACTGATTTAATATATAATATATCAGAATTTCTGTTTATAATGTTTTTTTCTAAATTAATGAAATCATAGTATATTTTTGGAAAAAAAATAAACATTGAAATATTAAATGGAAAATAAATATTTTATATATTTATATACTGTATATAAATATATTATGTTCTATTGTTAATTTAACTGCCTATATTTGTTATCTTAATTATAATATTACAATTATTAATTATTAAATGATTAATTATATTGGTCAATATTACATTAAAAATAGAATGGGATGATATTAGAGATATTAGATCATTTATGAAATTAGAGGCCTAGTTTACTACCAGATGAAAAGTAATAAACAAACATTTTGAAGCATCATTTTGTTGTACAGTTTTGGGTTACTCTTTATTTTAAGGTGTCCTTGCATATTTAAGTACGGAGTAATAATAATTAACTACATGTACTTACTATAGGGTTAGGAATAGGATTAGGTTTGGTTTAGGGTTAGTTGCATGTAATTATGCATAGTTGAATTACTACAGAAACTACATGTAACATGGACACTGTAAAATAAAGTGTAACCCAGTTTTGTGGTCAAGTTGAATACCTAGAGCTAGAGGTTTGTTGAAATCACAAAGCCTGACTAATGTGTTAGTGAAGCTTGCCTTAGCAAACACAGCTAATGATTAACTGCAGCTTATTTGGTTTCAGGACATTTCTCACACTGATTTATCTGTCCGATCAGACTCCTTCCACACATCAATGTTTCAAACTCAAGACTATAGCATAAAGAGTAATCACGTGTTACTTTATGTGTTTGTGTGTGTGATGTAAATATACATACGTGTGTGAGATATCAGCACCATTCCCTGTTTTACTTTAATGAATAAAATTTGCATATTCAGAAGTGCAAACATGTCATTAAAGTCAAGATGCGCCACACATCAAGTCACCCATGATTTATGAAAATACTTTTCCTGCAAAGAAAGGAATTGAAAGAGGAAGTTGGCTAAACACTTCAAAAACCAAAAAAGTGAAACGCCACAGATGTCACACCACCATTACTGCTTATAATGCAGAAGAAAATCTGTATTTATTAGCACTGAAAATATGCACTGTATAAAATATATTCAGCATTAGATTCCACTGTGAAATACTGGTTGTGTTATAGAATTAGACACCCAGAAATGAACATTTTGGCACTATTTTCTTACCCTCTTATCCACTTTCTGCTGGTTGCACATTTCCATAAACCAATAAACAGAAACTTAAACTTTTAAACTTCAAAAAGACACAAATGCACCATAAAAACGGACCATATGCCGATTTACTGTAGTAGTTATTACTGACAAATAATCTTTCCTTCCAGTGAGCTGTGAACCGTTGCAATCGTATCAGTGAATCAGTAAATTGAGAACCGAATCAGTCTGATTCATGAATGAATCATTCAGACCAATTTTGTGAACTGGATCAACTGATTCTGACTCAAAAGAATGATTCAAGGGCAGTATTGGGAAATATTGACAATACAATTGCGATACTTTTTCTCACCTGGCAAATGTTTTATTTTTTTACAAATGTAAAGGCCCATTAAAAAAACAAACGTACAAATGCAAAAGTAAATTCAAATACACGCATGTAGAAGAGGGCGCAACTCAACAAAACCTCATCGTGTTGCCAAGTCTTGTTGCCCCCCAATATAAATAGTTTTTTTGTAATGTGTTGCCCCTAACACTGTTCAAGAGCAAGTAAATAATGCTAGAATAATCCTTTTTGGGTGGACTATCCCTTTAAAAAAACAAAAAAGGAGGAAGCGGTGGTAGAAAAGCACGCTCGTCTTAATACTCTGTGTTGTAGACCGTCATGTCTTTGGCATGTGTGACCAGCAGCTCCCAAGGATACTGATTCACGGGTCGTTTGACCTTTGACCCTGTGTGTTTGCTCTCTTGCACCATGAGAGCGACGTCTTCATCGTCTAATATCCGTATCAGGTCGCCCTTGGGGTCCCTGTAGTTCAAAGCAATTTCTTCCACATGAAAGACGTCCCTGAGGGGAAAACAGAAGAGAAGAGAGGAAAACAAATTGCACAATAGTTTAGAGGTCATAACAAGGGCAAATATAATTAGTATAATGTAATTTGAGGCCTCTATGTTGTATCAGCAGTCATGTGACTTATATGCTAATTATTTAACACTGTGCATGCGGCATTCAAATAACAGATGCATATTCAACATAATCATGCAAATGAGGTTTATTATTAAACATTAATCCAGCGCTGCTCAACAAATGGGCCTCGAGACCTTTTGTGTCATGCTTGTTTGTTGAGAGAATAAAATTTCAGAAAAAAAAAATCTGGTTGATTCTAGTCTAATCTAGGTTGAATCTAATGATTCCTCATTGAAGTAGTATGGATCAATCTCTTGTTTTTGAAGATTTCATTTTTTATATACCGCAGTAAATGTTGACAGTATGTTTCCATCCACACGTTTTTATCCGCATTAAGTGATATCGAATGAAAAATGCCTTATGGAAACAGTAAAATTCGATTGAATTTCATGAATATCGACTCAAATGAAATACGATCGGTCTCATCGGATTTTATCTTGATCGATATACGGCTTATGCGATAAACGCGGATGGAAACGTTATTATGGTGCGATCCATTTTGCCTAGTAAAACTTGTCAATCGAATGGAATGAATGGAAACACCTTAACATGTCTCAAATCAATTCGATATACCAATTTGATCGCAAAACAGCATGTGACGTCATTACGCACAGGTTTTTATCCGCTTTAAAGCCGTTTGATGGAAACACACTTTCACCAGCTTTATTCGCATGAGGTTTTTTTACCGAACTTCAGATAATTCGATTGACAAGTGGATGGAAACA